CTCTTGACTTTTAACTGCCACAAATATGCCGTGCGGGTGCTTCGGGAAGAAGAAAAAGGCTGCCGAGGAGGAAGAGAAATACCGGCAGCGCGACTCCAAGTCTCGTGAACGTGAGCCCCCTTCCCCCACGCCCGCGCCTGTACCGGCCCCGACTGTCGTTCCGGCGGCGCCCTTAGCAGCGGCGCCCACACCTGAGGGAGATGCCCGGCTGCGACCGGAAGATGATCCTGACAAGACGAGCCGACGACGAGACGTCGTAGCGTCCTTCTACAATGATCAGTGTGAGCTCATCGGCTTTAAAGCCACTGGGTCTCGACCGCCATCGGCCTATGTGGGCGGTGCCCACCACGATGGTTCGTCCTCCGTGTCCTCGAGTGGTTCGCCTGGTTCCTTGCGACCAGGGGCGTCATGTCGTGCCGATTTAGCAGAGAAACGCCGGGAATTCTTCAAGCAACTTACCATAGAGAGCGAGGACGGCTCACGTCCAGGGACGCGACCGAACTCCCGAGCAACGAATTCATTAACTAGATCTCGGGACTCCAACCATGAGGACAAAATGTCAGTTATTCAGATCGCCAAATCGTCACTGCGTCCCGTCAAACAGTCCCCGCAATCCCAGGACACGAAGTTGCCATATAGGCCTCATTTTGCATCGGAAGAGGAGGAACGTGGCATGCAGTATCGAGTGGCGAGGGAACTGATGTTGAAAGATATCAGACAGCAGGCTTTTACGCTGAGACCCTCGACAGAGAAGGTGCAGTTCAAGAATATGCTTCCTGAAAAGGAGCCCGAGGAATCTGATTTTATCAGCAACGGGGAAGCAGATGCAACTCCACTTATTATCGAAACGAAACACACAGAGTCGTCAGAAAAAGCTCCTCCGAAAAAGCTTACGGAACAAGCAGGTTCGGAACGTATTCAAAGTCACACACAACCAAAGTTGGATCTGTCCGCCATTAAAACTTCAGCTAAACAACGCGAACAGATTGATCCAGAGATTTCAGATCTACTCGAAAATTTGTCTGGCCAGGAAATTTCTGAACTCTTAGTTGATTTGTCTAAACCAGAAATGGATTTGCTTCCTGAGGATTCGTCCAAACCGCAGTGCCCTCAAAGCCAGCAGGCAAATTCATCTAATCAGGTACTGGGTAATCTTGCCATGGATGTACGTGTATCAGGAAGTGAATCAGGAATTGTTATGCAAAAGTCAGCAGGCGAATTGCCAGATAATGTCCAAATATGCACTGGTAATGGGAACATACAGACACTGTCCAGTCAGCCTATCTCCCCTTTCAGTATTGAAACTTCAGCCACAGAAGTTTCTGTAACAGAAGTAAAGCAGGAACCTGTTGTTCTGTCTGCAACAGGACCTTCTCCTGTTGAGCAACAAGATATGCAAATTCCTTCAGTTGTAGAAGTTAAACAAGAAACCGTGCAGATATCTGGAACGAAATCTATTGTGGAGGTTCTGGATGATCTTCAGCTGCCTGCAACAGGAAATTCTGTTATTAAAGTCACACAAGAAGCTGTTATATTGCCTGCATCAGAACCTACTTTGGTATTTGAAGTTAAACATGAAGGTATTGAGTTGCCTGCAGAGCAGCCCCCTTGTGCAGATGACAAACGCGAAGCTGTTCACATGCTTGCAACAGACCCTATTTCTGTGTTAGATGTTAAACAAGAAGTTGTTCAATTACCTGCATCGGCTTCCCAAGAAAATCCACCTATGCCTTCTGCTGAACTCCCCCAGGAAACTACTCGTGGTGTTTTAGAAGCTACGCATGAATTCCAGCAAGAAAGGGCTGCAGATTCAGTGCACCGACAAGAAAACATGACAGAAATCGCCTATCCTTCACCCGAGAACCAGAAGCCGGAAGGCATTGGGGACTCAAATAATACGATGTTACCTCCTTCAGTCGACCCGTCGTTCCTGAGGACTGAAGAGGAACCAGAGGAGCTCCTTTTGCAACAGTTTTTACATCAGCCCCCGCCACGTCCTACAGAAGAACCGGCGCCTTCGCTACCTGAACCCGGCGTAGATCCATTTTCAAATGTACCAGCCTCACAGCCAACGATTACCAGACACTCGCCTGACGAACACGAATCTTTGCCACCCGCACCGCCGACCCCGCCGTCGGGACCTGAACCTACCCCACCGACGCAGCTCTTGTCCTTCGAAGGAAACGAACAAACGCACGAAGTTCAAGTCGTTGCTCCAGTCACGCTTTCCATGATGGAGGAACCTCTTCTCATTCTGGACGAACCTCTGCCTCCCGCCCCTCCCACGCCACCTCTAGAGAGTGAACCTTTGCCTCCCGCCCCGCCCACCCCGCCCATGTCGTCCTCGCCGAGCAGGTCCCCAGTAACGTGTGCGACGGACGTGGCTGCTGCTGCTACTGCGGGAGGCGATGCTTCAGGTCCTGCGAAGGACGGCGGGCAGGTCTCCGCGGAGAGACTCGGCGAAGATTGCAATACCGAACGAGCGGCAGCTTCTTCGTAG